ATTTTAATCTCTGTTAATTGGTTTGTTTGTTTGGATGTGTGTGTTGGGGCTCAGCAGAGCTTAAATAGAGGAGGAGTGCAGTTCGTGTGTGACGAAGTGCTGTGGAATTTCTCAGACAGACTGAAAAAGAGCTTAACGCAAGACAGACGTGTGTGTGTGTGTGTGTGTTTGCATGAATCAAAATGAAGTTGCCTCTTTAAAAACATCAATCCTTTCACATGAGCATGCATCAGGAAATCCTTTCCACAGTTTTAACTTTATTCTGATTCTGTGTTTCCACCTTCTCCTTTTTTATTTTAAGATCTACAGGATTTTCTGTTCAGCTGGCCTCTTGAGGCCTTAATGTTAGGAGTCCTGAAACTGTTGTCACTCACAGAGATCTGCCTTTGTTCATCATCATAATTTAAAAGCAGTACAGCAGTCCCTCGTTTATTGTGCATCTGTACCCTGAAGCCTCGCGATAAGTAAAAAACCACAAAGTAGGAATAGTAGTACAAGTATTAAGTAAAACACTTCTCACACTCTTACAATATTCTAAACAATGTTTCTAAACTCTAAACACTCTAAAAGAGCACAGAATGTCATGATTTCAGCTCCCTGCCTCTTCTCTTTGCCACCTGCAAGCGCTCTTGGCCACGCCCATTTCTCAGCTCTGCACGCAGAACAGCTGACCAGCTGCAGCAGGAAGCTTATCCCGCTGCTTTGGGCTGCACAAAGGTGCAGCAGGTGCTAAATAATGTAAAATAATTGATTTTAAATAAAAATTCCTTGCCGATCGTGTGTCTCATCCATCAATCAGCCAATTGTGGGTCATGTCAAATGATTAAACGAGTCCCGAGGCTCAATGGGACTAACCTGTATAAATTAAGGTTGAATGAATGTCCAATCTTATTTTGAAAAACCGCAATAGAGCGAATCTGCGATTAACCAACAGCGAAGTAGCGAGGGACTACTGTATTACTAATCCACTGTAGCAGCAAAACCAGTTTATTGTTCAGTGACTGAACACCTTTTTTCTTTTAGTGTTTTGACACTTTGTTGATTGTTGATTTTTTTTTTTTTACAGATTGTTTTCTCTAGATTTACTGTATATGGAGTATTAAATACATTTTAGACCAGTTTAGCTTACTTTACTCTTAGATAAGTGTTTATTTTCTTTTAAATATCAGTAATTACTAAAGATCCTCAAACATCAGCAGATTTTGAAAGAATTTACATGTTTGAATTGCACAACACTTTATTGGTTGTTCCAGCTCAGAGTACAAAATAAGTCCACATATGCAATTAATTCCCAAATAATCCTGTCATTTTTTCCCATAATGATATGGAACACATTAATTAGAAAACGCATAAATATTAGTTTGCACACCAAATATCAGTATTAACAGGTACTATAGAGGTAAAGACCCATCATTTGTGTCATCTACTGACTAGACAGTTGCTGCAGGTGCAACATAGCAATGCTTACTGTAGATTAGCTGTAATGATTTAGTTCTCTGCCAACATTCAATGCAGTGCAACACATTCTCTAAAGTGGTTTGTTTTTTCCTCTGTGCCGTGTCATCTACAGGCTCTTTGCATAAATGTGCAGTGCAGCGATTTGCTGGAGACTTTGAGCCTGGTTTTCTGCGGTGCAGAAGTGAATTGTTCGACTGGTATGGAAAAATGTCCAACCCCTGAATACATCGCCAGTGCACATTCACAACCCCTGCAGGCTGAAATAATCAGACATAACCTCAACACAGGTACAATATCTGTGCCTTCAGGGGGGCATTTCTGTTTTTGTTGGTGTTTTACGTTAGAATTGAAGAGAGTTTTTATGAAACCTTAGCAGAAATCTGTCAAATAAAACCCAAACTGATGTCTTTCTGCGTTGCAGCACCTATAACAACTATTCACTTCCTATTATGCTTTTGTTGCTGTCATAATTCAATCATAGTCAGTACAAACTGACCTTCTTTTTACTCTAATAAATGTTGCAGGTTTAGGTTTAAGATAAATATAATGTTATTCCTGTAGTTTCTATTTAGCTTGATCTTGAGACATTCACCACTTTCCAATAATTATGTGAAAAGTGACTTTTGTTGCTTACGCTATATTTGCTTGTTTTTTCATTGTCTTTGTGTCACACTGCAGAGGTAGTCGATAGACTGATTTATTCGTGCTACATTACAAAACGTCTGCTGGACAGGTTTGGTGTTTTGAATTGTTAAAGTTGTTAGTCCTTTCTTTCCTCTGTAGAGCTGCCACAGTTACAAGTAGACAGCAGTATGGATCTGGAACATTACCAGCCGTCACCATGTGCGTCTTACACGGGCTTTCTGTTCAAAACTGCCTCCATGACCCGGGCTGCCACAGAACGCAAGCCCAAAGAGGGTACGTGGAAAAATTGTGTAGCAAGCACCAACACTTGCTCTTGCTGAAAACATTAAAAAGTATTTATTTTGAACAAACTGTCTTGTAGAGTTATATCAGACCTCACCAAACACTGAGGTCCGTCAACCTTGCCGCTAACACTTTCATTGCAGTCCCCTCTCGATGAAATACTTAAAACGCCCGTTTGTCCGTGTGTGCAGAGTTCAGTCGTCGTTGGTGCACGTTAAACGATGGCATCTTCAGCTACTATGAAAGTGACAAGAACTCCAACCCTAACGGAGTGATAAAGGCGTCAGAGCTTCTCTGTTTGGCTGTCGACACACCTGAGAAACATGGGTACACACACATGCACATCAGTCTGTTTTCACACATTTAAAGGGATAGTGTGGTGGTTTGTTGTAATATTTTTGTTAAATAGTTATCAATATTTATTACCTTAAAAAGTCTTCATCCAGGCCAGGCTAATGGCCTGCCATATAAAGGCTCATTGATTCTTTCTGAGGGTTAAAAAGTCTTCTTTTTTTTTTTTTTTCCAAATGACAGACCACTGTAAAAGAACTACAAGTTCTAATATTAAACCTTGACACGTTTGCATGAGACTGTTTAGTTTGCTGTTTTCTTAACCAAACAGTGATTGTGTTACTACACAATTGTAGGTGTGCTGAGCATACACCATTTATGCCGAAGCCTTAGTGTATCAGTCCACCAGGAGTTGAGGAAACGTTTGACTAAACACGCTAATCAGGTGAACTGATACATTCGCAGCCTCAACACTTTTGGCATAAACATTTTTTAGAGGTCAGTGGAACCTCTACAACAGTGTAGACTTAATATGATCCCGTGTGGCGTTCTTTCACGTCACTATATTGTTTTTGAGAGAAGTTTTCTAAATTTGAAATTTTATGAAAAACAGTCCCTTGTTTGGCTAGTTATTAGCCTAGCCTGAATGAAGACTTTTTCCAAAGTTTCGTTAAATCTTCCTTCACTCCTTCTCAATTTCTTCTGAACCCCAGGTTTGAATATACCTTTGAACTGTACTCTGAAAATGAGCGTATTTATCTGTTCGGCACTGATGATGCAGACAGCCACAAGGAGTGGGTCAAGTGCCTTGCCAAGGTAACACCGTTTTCTCCTCCATCCTCAGAAGAACAAATCCTACTGTACAGTGACCCTGTAATTTGTTTTTTAAGGTCATTAAGTTTTGTATAAGGCTTGCAACTCCCGATATTTTAGATGAAAATGCTGTTTTGTTGTTTGAAAAGTGACATCTTTTGCATGCAGAATGAAACAACGTGGCCAGTTCTGGTGCATTTCTTATTGAAATGTCCAAATAAAAATGATCACATTAGTAAATTCACCACTTCTGCAAATTCATAATATAAATATAACTTGTCAAGCGTTTCTTTTCACTCCGTCTTTCGATCATTATGTATTTATCTATATTCACCAGTTTTCACGAAATGACATTACAGTATCCCCAGCCA